CCCAGTCGGGAAGCTCAGCCTCGTCGCCAAACACGGTACGCCAGGCGTCGCTCAGACGGGCGAAGCAGCGGGACGGTGTATGACTACGTGTCCCACAAGGCTGACCAGTCCGAGTACCAGTGCGAATCACGTAAGAGCAGCGAACAGCACTAAGAGACCCTCCACTCTGAGCGTACCACTCACGAAGCTGGCGAGGCGTGAGAGACACGCGAGAGGGTCGCGGGAGCTGCATCTGGCCGCCACCACGAGTAGAAGCAGCAGGAGTGGTAGTAGGAGTAGCGTCGCCACCCCTACAGCCCCAACCAGCGTACCACTCACGCAGCTGCTGCGGCGTGAGGGACTCACGCCGGCGTCGCTGGGGCTGCATTTGGCTCCGCAAGTAGAAGCAGGAGCAGGACTAGCAGCAGGGAGGCAGGCAGCCAGGCAAGCCAAAAGGCAGGCAGGCAGGCAAGCAGGCGACTCGCAGCGTGCTAGCAGGGCAAGAGCTCACCAGTGGTGGGAAGAGTAGTTCGGCGACTCAGCGGCTCGGCAGCTCGGCGGCTCGGCGGCTCGGGCGACTCGGGCGGCTCGGCGGCAAGGCGGCTCAGCAGCAACTGCAGCTCAGTAGCTCGGTGACTCGGCGGCAGGGCGGCTCGGCTGTGGGGCGGTTCGGCTGCTGCAGGGGAGATGAAGGAGGAGGAGAAGCAGGGAAGGCCACACACCTGCCACCGCAAGCGGCCCCCTCAGGTCGCCTCGACAGGCGACGGGAAAAGGGGGGGGGTGGGTGGTGGGGGGCCGGTAGGTGCAGCGGCGGGGCCAGCAGGTGCAGTTGCGGGGCCGGTAGAAGGGGACGGCAGGAGCCGTCAGGAGGGGACGGCGGGGCCGTCAGGAAGGGACGGCGGGGTCGTCACGAAGGGACGGCGGGGCCGTCAGGAGGTGACCGGGCCGCGACGGGGGCAGGCGGCGGGGCCGCGTAAGGGCCTGGGCGGGGCCGCGACAGAGCCGTCGGCGGGGCCGCGTGAAAGCCGGGGCGGGGCCGCGTAGAAGCCGGGGCGGGGCCGCGCGAGAGCAGGAGGCGGGGCCGCGAAGGAGCCGGGGCGGGGCCGCGTGAAGCCGGGGCGGGGCCGCGCGAGAGCAGGTGGCGGGGCCGCGAAGGAGCCGGGGCGGGGCCGCGTGAGAGCAGGCGGCGGAGCCGCGTAAGAGAGGGCGGCGGGGCCGCGTCAGTGAAGGCGGCGGGGCCGCAGGGGAAATGGCGACCCGAGGGGTCGCTAAAAAAAAGGATCGCGCCTCGGGGGGCGCTTCGGTGGGCCCAAAAAAAACGGTCCGTAGAAGGACCCGCTCTATACCATGTGAGAATAAGCGAACAGGAATGAATGAACTAGCAGTGAAATGAGTACAAGTAGGAAACCCTAGAATTGTGTACCCCCTATAGGCTAACCCACTGTAGCCTACACAAGCATAACATATATAATGTTTGACAAATCTCAACCCCAGCCTCCGAAATAACGTGACCTAAAAATTCTAGCCTATCCTTAAAAAACTCGCACTTGGAACCCTTGGTGAGTAGGCGATGTTTCTCTAAGACCTGAAAAACCGCTTCAAGATCGACTAAGTGCTGCTCCTTATCCCGGCTATAAACTAGAATATCGTCCAGGTAAACTATCACGCATTTATCTAAAAGTGGTCGAAACGCCTCGTTCATGGTCATCTGAAAAGTTGCAGGCGCGTTCGTCAGCCCGAAAGGCATCACTGTATACTCGAATGACCCGTACCTAGTCCTAAACGCTGTTTTGGCGCAGTCCGATGGTTCGACCCGAATCTGATGGTAACCTCCCCGTAAATCTATTTTCGAAAAAACTCGCGCTGTTCGTAGTTGGTCAATCAGTTCGTCAGCGCGGGGGATGGGGTATCGCGATTTGATTGTAACCCTGTTAAGCGCTCGGTAGTCTATGCACATGCGAAAACCTCCGTCTTTTTTCGGTGTGAACAGTATCGGTGCGGCGAACGGTGACGAGCTTGGTTGAATAAACTGCTTCTCTAATAGGTAATCTAACTGCTTCCTTAACTCGTCGAGTTCGGGTTGTGTCAGTCGAAATTGCCGCTGTACTGTTGGCTGTGCCCCCGGTTCTAACGCTATCCTATGGTCGTGCGCCCGCTGAGGTGGCAGTCCCTGTGGTAGATCATCCGGAAATACCCCCTGGAACCGTTTCAGTAGTGTTTGTAATTCGTTCGGTACGGCTGCTAGCAGTTTCTCGAAATCACTCTGCTGCTCGTCTTTTTCTACGATTGCGATATCTACTGCGTACACGTCAGCTCCCGCAGCGACAGCCCGTTTCATCGTGACGGCGTTGACCTGGACTGTCGAAGATTCGGGTGACCGCCAGCGAGGTAGAACGACCCAGTTACCGCTACTTCGCACTGTGCAGCTCCCCGTCGTCCAGTCAATCCGTGGGTTGTACCGTCGCAGCCAATCACGTCCCAATAAAATGTCGTGCCCATCCAGTGTCGTTGCGAGCATTTCCTGTGTAAATCCGAAGTTCCCCCCGCAGCGGACTTTTACTCGCTCCACCTTTTCCCTTATGGCCAGTGGCGTGCCGTCGACTAAGCGTGCATCTATCTCAGGTAAGCATCGGGTAAGTATCAACTGTAATTTTCGTGCGGTCGCGGTATTAACTAAGCTATGACTTGCTCCTCCGTCAATAAAGATCTTCACTGCTGCTCCCTGTATTTTCCCGTAGATCAGTACTGGGCAATCCGTCGCTGTACCCTCCTTATTCATCCGAGCCCGATCGATGGCGTGAATCGGTACTGTGACTCGGTGAGGGTCGGTGTGGTTGGGCGAGCAGGCAGTCTCGTCAGTAGTTGGCCCGATTTCTACTGACTGCTGGCGTTTCCCTGCCTCTGAGACTCCCTCCCCTGCTCTGCTCCTCGACGCCTCAGCTCTTCTGGACATTCGCTCTTGCGATGGCCCGGCCGGTTGCAAGCAAAGCAGCGCCCTCTAAATGGCGTGGCAGCTGCATTCGTTGCGACGGCATGTACGGTGGCGTGCTCGATCGGTCCCCGAGGGCGATGTCCGAAATAGGACCCCGGTCTCGGTCGGCGTAGGATATCGATTTTCTCGGCGAGCGCGAGGATTTCGTTGAAATTCGATAGCCCGCGTAGCATTATCTCGTGCGATATGTCCGACTTCAGTCCCCCGACGTAACGGTCCACCCGCTCCGCTTCGTGCATGTAGCCGACCTGTTCGCAAAGTGCGAGAAAACCGCTGGTGTAGTCTTGAACCGACCCGAGCTGGCGCCAAGTGCGTAGTTTCTGACGCGCCGAAATCGAAGCCGCAATCGGCTCGAAGCGCGCCCGAAGTCCTGCGCACCACGCATCCCACGTGCTGTATTGGGCTGTTTCGCAAAAGGAACTCCAGGTGACAGCTGGACCCGAGGGCCCTTCCTCGTGCGACGGTGGCTCGTAGGCGCGTGGCGACGTCACGATGACTCGCCACCAGTCCATGGCGGGGCCCCTGAGTAGTGAAACCGCATACCGAATCTTGGCGGCGTCCGACTCGACGTAGTTGGCGTCGAAAAACACATTCATCGTGAAGACCCACGATTGAACTGTCGGGCCACCGCGTTGGCTTGGGTCGAAGCAGGGCGGGCGTTGCGGCTTGAGTGGCATTGGGGCCATCATGGCGATTTCTCCACTTGTCGTCGCAAACTCCACGTGCCGACGGGCTTCTCGGGGCTCCCGTGGGCTTGATGCATTCCTGTTCTCTCCCATGCCGGGCATCGGTTGGGCTGCGCCGTCACTGGCTGCGCCTGAGCGCTGTCCCGCGCTGTTGTTTTGCGTTGGTGTGCCGGATGAGATAACAATCGGCTCCTCCGAATGGACAGAAACATTGGTTGGCGCTTGGGAAGTCGTCGGAGCATTCACCGTTGACTGTTGACGGGCGGAGTCACGTTCCGCCGTGAGCGTCGCGATTTCGAGCGCTGATTCCTCCAACTGTCGCACGAGACGATCGAGTTGCTCCTGCGTCAGCGTGGCGATAGTGAAATCAGCCATGGCAGGGGTGTCGGGCAAGCTCAGCGAGAGCCTCAGTCGTGGCCGTGCGGGCTTCCGAGAGAGCACTACGAGCGGCGGTGCTGTATCGCTGAGAGACGTCTACCCCCCCCAAAAATTGAGATAGTGGGAAGTGAAGGTGTGGATGCGGTCCGAGATGAGATTGTAGGCTCTGAATACCAAGTGTTACGAGTGCAATTGAGGGAACGAACGAGAATTGCACTATCGAAGCAAGAGTACAATGAGCGAAGGCATGAGCGAAGGATTATATAGCGAAACAATAGTGGTAACGGTAATGGACTGTGGTTGTCGCGCGACGAGCCTGGGACTGAGGTTGGGAAAATGTCGAAGCGTAGGCCCGGAGCGCGGGTTACCAGCCGAGCCGTGAGGTCGGGATGCGATGTGCGAAAAGGGCGGGATGATGAATGATGCGATGGTCGCGAGTGGTAACGGTGCTGACTGAGGTGCTACAGTGATGTACGCGTTGAGCAGGGACGCGAGGTAAGGAAAAGGGAATTTCCTTACAATTAGTTGCACTTTTTCTCTTGATGCTATTTTAGACGAACACGCGAGTCGAACGAAATCTGCCTCTTCCGCGTACGCGATAATAGACATGCTTCACTCCCCAAATGCTCAGCTGCATTCGTCAGAGACGCAAACCACTACACCCGTCTTTGTGCCCTGTTTAGAACCAGGAAATCAAGACGCCTGGCACCAGCACGGCCCTCATATCGGAGTGTGCATTCTTGGCCCATCCACCCATCACTCAAATTTGGTTGCCGGGACACTATTCTACCAAGCTCTATTGTCGATTAGCGCCCCCGCATCAGGAATGTCAGCGACAGTATCAGACGAGGCGGCAGCGCGAGTGGCGGCGGCAGAGGCGGCGGGGATCACGCTGTCGGCCGAAGTAAAACGGGCGTTGCTCGGAGGACGGCCTGTGGTGGCGCTGGAATCGACCATAATCTGTCATGGTATGCTGCGGTTCAGTGTGGTGCAGCACTGCGCTGCAGTCTCATCAGGCCAGTGCCATCCGCTGTGCTGCGCGGCCCGCGGAACCTGGCAGTGTGGCACGGCGAATTACCCCCTGGAACTGGTAGGACCTCACCGTCGTGTCTAGTCGTTTGTTTTGCGGGGTGGTTCTAAGAATTCTCCTTCTCCTCACAAGACCTGCGTAGACTAGTTTCGGTACTGAAGGCTCTTGCAAACTTGTACACATAAGGTGCGGGGGAGTGGCAGCAGCCTCGCATCAAGAAGAGAATATAAAATTTGAGATTAAAAAATAATAATTAAAAAAAAAATCGCTTTCTGGCCTGCTATCTTTCCATGTCCCCATCCTTCTAGCTCCTATACCTCTCCCGTCCATCTTTCCCCTGTCGCCACAGGGCATGCTGGCAGCAGAAGGTTTTGCGGAGTGGTGCATATTTATCCTCCTGCCCATCCTTCTCTTTCCTCCCCCGTTCCCTCTCTCACCAACCCAGGCATGCCACACCCACAGAATCTGCAGGCAGCAGAGAACGTGGAGGGGATTATTCGCCAGGGGGGGGATGTGCCATCCACCTATCCTGCCTCATTCCTTCCCAGTTCCCCCTTTTCCCTGCCTCTCGCCCCACCAAGGCATGCCATACCCACAGAAACTGCAGGCAGCAGAGGGCGAGGAGGGGTTTATACGGAGGGAGAGGGCGGTGCCGGCCATCTTTGCCATCACTGCGGGCTGCCCTCGCCTCCCCCTCACACCTTGCCTTTCCACCCTCCCCATTCTCTCCCCCCACCACCCTAGGCATGCCATACCCACAGAACCTGCATGCAGCAGAGGGCGTGGAGGGTATTATTCGGAGGGAGGGGGCAGTGCCGGCCACCATTGCCATCATTGACGGCCGGCCGTGCATAGGTGAGCGAGTGAGCCTGCATTTCCACGTGCATGAAGAAGTGTTTTGAGACGTCTCAAAACACTTCTTCATACACGCCGGCCATGCATAGGTGAGCGAGTGAGCGTGCATTTCACTTGAGTTTACTTGTGCAAGGGAGGAGTGTGGTTGGTCACCCTCCTATTTCCCCCTAATCATTTTCTCTCGCCTTGTCCCTTGCAGGGCTGACCGCTTCTCAGCTGCAGCACCTGGCACGGGACGGCCATGCTGCTGTGAAGACTGCCAGACGAGACGTGGCTCTCGTGGTGAGGCGTGGTGATGCGTGGTGAGGCGTGGTGATGCGTGGTGATGCATGGTGGCGTGGTAGGGCGTGGTGGGGCGTGGTGGCGTGATGGGGCGTGTCTTAAGCGGCCGACACACAGAGGTGGATACTGAGGCGGCGGACTGAGCCACCCACTGGATACTCCGCCGTCTCAGTATCCACCTCTGTGTGTCGGCCACCTCCATTACTTCTTTTTAAGACATGTCTCTCAAAACCATTAGGAAAATTCCTTTCCCTTCTCTTCTTCTTTCTGCCCCACAGGTGTCTCAAGGCCTGACAGGAGCCACCACTGTATCGGCCACCATGCTGCTCGCTCACAAGGTGGGGTGTTGATGCATCATATCACACAGCGTGTGTGCCTTGGTGTGTGTGTGTGTGTCCTGTGCACAACAATGTGTGTGTTCGTGCGTGCAAACAGGAGCCACCACTGTATCGGCCACCACTGTATCGGCCACCATGCTGCTTGCTCACAAGGTGGGGTGTTGATGCATCATACCGTGCAGTGTGTTTACCTTGGTGTTTGTGTGCTTTGCGCACCACAGGCAGCGTGTGCCTTGCACGCAACAGTGTGTGCTTGGGTGGAAACAGGAGCCACCGCAGGCAGTGTGATGCATACTGCACATCTTCGATGCATCATACCGTGCAGCGTGTTGACCACAGGCAGCGTGTTTACCACAGGCAGCGTGTTTACCACAGGCAGCGTGTTTACCACAGGCAGCGTGTTTACCACAGGCAGCGTGTTTACCACAGGCAGCGTGTTTACCACAGGCAGCATGTGCTTTGTGTGCAACAGTGCGTGCAGTGGGTGTTTGTGTGCTTTTCGCACCACAGGCAGCGTGTGCTTTGCACGCAACAGTGTGTGCTTGTGTGCTAAGAGGAGCCACCGCAGGCAGTGTGATGCATGCTGCACATCTTTTCAAACCACTTTTTCTGCCACTGTGTCGCCTCTTTTCCATGCCTGCCTGCCTCCTTTCCGTACCTGCCTCTTTTTCTTACCTGCCTCCTTTCCGTACCTGCATCTTTCCCATACCCGCTCATTTCCGTGTCTCCCCCGTTACCATGTCCACAGGTGGGCATCTCCGTGTTTGCTACAGGGGGCATTGGCGGCGTGCATCGAAGGGGGGGGAGAGCACAGACAAAGGGGGGAGGACAGTCAGGGGAGAGCGCTTGTTTGTGCTCACTTCTTCGCTTCCTTCCTTTCCCTCTTTCCGTGTCCTCACCACAGGTGGGAATACCGGTGTTTGTGACAGGAGGCATAGGAGGTGTGCACCGAGGGGGAGAGATCAGTAAGCAGAGAGTGCGTAATTTTGTGCTCACTGCCCCTCTTTCCTTCAACCCCCTTCCATGTCTCTGCTTTTTCCGTGTCCACACTGCAGGTGGGCATCCCTGTGTTTGTGACAGGAGGCATAGGAGGCGTGCACCGAGGGGGAGAGAGCAGTAAGCAGAGAGGAACGGGGAGAAGCTAAGAAAGAGAGGAAAAGAAGCAAGGGTAGAGGGGGAGGGGAGTAAGGGGGGAGGGGAAGGGGAGTAAGGGGAGAGGGAAGGGGAGTAAGGGGAGAGGGGGAGAGCAGTGATGGGGGAGTGGGAGATAACTGTGGGCAAGGGCAGTAGATATCCCGAGACTGAGGTCGTTCATCCACGGAGACAAACCTTACCAGCATTCTGTGGGATGTCTACAGACCAAACGACGTCACTCTCGGGATGTCCGCAGACCAAACGACGTCACTCTCGGGATGTCTACAGGCCAAACGACGTCACTCTTGGGATGTCTACAGACCAAACGACGTCACTCTCGGGATGTCAACAGACCAGCATTCCATCTCCCCGCCCGCGCTTATGACTCGACTCAAAAGTCAACCTGGAAGCCCGTCTGCCCCACTCCTCTTCACCGTTCTTCACTCCTCTTCACTCCTTTTCACTCCTCTTCCACACTCCACCTTCCGCGTCCGTCCGCTCGCTTCCTCGTCCACCTTCCCTTTCCCCTTTCGTTTCCCCATCCCCTTTTTCCCTTTCCTTTCCCCGTTTCTCTTGCCCGTCCCCTTCCCCATCCCCTTCCCCCTCCCCATCCCCCCATGCCCCCGCCAGCGATGGACATCTCATCTGATCTCACGGAGTTGGGTCGCACGCGTGTGGCTGTGGTGTGTGCGGGAGTCAAGTCAGTGCTCGATATTCCCCGCACTCTTGAATACCTCGTGAGTGGGGTTGTGAGGAAGTGAAGTCATCGCTTGCACTCTAAAACACCTGCTGACGCTTGGACTCTCTGTGGCCGTGGTGTGTGTGTGTGTGTGTGTGTGTGTGTGTGTGTGTGTGTGTGTGTGTGTGTGTGTGTGTGTGTGCGTGCGTGCGTGCGTGCGTGTGAGCGTGCGTGCGTGCGTGCGTGTGTGCGTGTGCGTGCGTGCGTGTGCGTGCGGGGATGAAGGCATAGTGCATTCCTTGGTGTACCTGCTTTCCATCTATCATAGCGTATTCTCTGGCTTTCCATTCTCTGGCTTTCCATTCTCTGGCTTTCCATTCTCTCCTCTCCCGTCCTCCCCTCTCCTTCCCCATGACCCACTACAGTGACTGTGGTGGTGTAAGGTGCTGATAGTGGTGGTGAAAGGTGCTGACAGTGGTGCTGTAAGGTGCTGACAGTGGTGGTGCAAGGTGCCATTAAGTTCCAATTCCCATTCTTCTGGTGTCTTATTCTCAGGCTTTCAGCTTTCTCCTTTACTTTTTTCCTACCTCTCGTCCCTGCACAGGAGACACAAGGGGTGACAGTGGTGGTGTACGGTGCCAAGGAGTTCCCAGCGTTCTTCACAGCAACATCTGGCTGCCCTGTCAGTGCCTCTTTCCCTATCAACACGTGTGGGTGGGACTAGCATAATATGAAATGAAGTAGCGTTTTTTTTTCAAACCAGCCTCGACGCTCCCCTCTCTCACCACCCCATCTCCCTCCCACTCACCCCATCTCCCTCTCACTCAACCCATCTCCCTCCCACTCACCCCATCTCCCTCCCACTCACCCCATCTCCCTCTCACTCACCCCATCTCCCCCTCACTCAACCCTTCTCCTTCCCTCTCCCACCCTGCAGGCACCCGCCACTCTCAGCGACCCTGCCAGCTGTGCAGCTCTCATTGGTGCGCCCTTGCACCATCTCTTCTCGCCCTCTCTTCCCCTTTTTTTTAATGTTCGAAGCAACTCCTCAGGAAAACTTATATTCCTGTTCCGCTTCACTTCTCTTCTTGAGTCTCGATGCACTCCCATTTCACTTGTCCATATCTCCAAGTCCAAAAGAGCTTGCCACCTGATTCACCCCATTTTTTTTCCCTTTCCAGCTTCCCAATTGTGACTATTATGTGCCCTCTGCCCTTTCCCATTTCCGCCATGCGCTCCCACTGCATTTCAACCCACTCCACTTACACTCACACTCCTCTGCACTCCTTTCAGACGCCAATCACTGCTTGCAGCTCACGAGTTGCATGGCGATTGCAGTGCCGAAGCCTCTAAAGACCACTCCTTTGCACCCCCTCACACTCCTTCGCACTCCCTTCAGACGCCAACCACCGCCTGCACGTCACCAGGGGCATGGTGATTGCAGTGCCGGCTCCCCAGGGCCAGGCAGCAGAGGCAGAAGAAGCTGCCAGGAACCTAGGCTTACATTCTCTCGCAGTTGCTCCCCACTCCCTCTCCCTCTCCCTCTCCCTCTCCCTCTACAGACACCAACCACCGCATGAAGCTTAACAGTGGCATGGTGATTGCAGTGCCGGTGCCCCAGGGGCAGGCAGCAGAGGCAGAGGAGGTAGAGCGAGCTACACAGCAGGCCCTTGCCGAAGCAGAGTGAGTGTTTTACTGATTCGGATGAAGCTAAGTCTGACGTGCTGTCAGATACAGCAGAGGCAGAGGAGGTGGAGCGAGCAACGCAGCAGGCCCTTGGCGAAGCAGAGTGAGTGCTTTGCTGGGAGGGGGTGTTGATGAAGCTATGTCTCACGTGCTGGCAGCAGAAGCAGAGGCAGCAGCAGGTATGCATGGTGTTTAGTGTACCGTGAATTTCAGTTGTCCCTGAAATTGCACATTCTCCTCTGCTCTTCTCTTTTCACGGTTTTCGTGCTTGGCTTCCATGTGTGAGGCATCGTGAACCAAGCCGTTTGCTTCTCAAACACTCAAATCTATCATTCCGTTCCTGTTTCTCTTCCCCCAATTTCTGTTGTAGATTGCACATTCTCTTCTCACGGTTTTCAAGCTTGGCTTCCATGTGTGACGATTGTGAACCTGGTCGTTTGCTTTTCAAAGAATCAACACGATCACTCTGTTCCTGTTTCTTCTCCCCCGGTTCCCCTCCTTCTCTTCCATGCCTACTCTCCCCGCATCTTCGCCTGAACTGCTGCCTTTCACAGCGCACAGGGCGTGAAGGGGGCACAGGTGACACCATTTGTGCTCAAGCGGATCAAGGAGCTGACAGGAGGGGCGTCACTCACTGCAAGTACGCCATATCAATCCTGTGATTCTCATTCCATGGATTGTCTTTTTACTTATTTGATCCTCTATCCCTTTTCTCATCCTCACATGCACCACGTCTTTTCTCCTCGCGTCCCCTTGCATTTAGTTTCTGATTTAGAAAGCTCAACCCCCTCTTTTCTGAATCCCCTGTCCTCTTCATCATCTTCTTTTATTCCCTTCTCTTGCCCTCTCTCCACCCCCCTTATTACCACCCTTGTCTCCCTCCAGACATAGCACTAGTGAAGAACAACGCCCGTGTGGGTGCCCAAATAGCCTGTGCTCTTGCACAAAGGAGAATGTCACCCGTGCCTAGATTGTAGTGAAGTTGTCAGTGCTGCATTTCCACTGTGTAATGCTGCACAAATATATCAGCAGGTTTTGCTTGAAAACGAATGTGTTTTTACCAGTACCACAAGCATATAGTATGCAGTTTGTATCAAGCCACAAAACCGGCAGGACACAGATCTTTTCTGTAGTGGAATGGGTGTGCAATTCAACCATTTACCAGCTCACATTGTAACTTGGTAGAGCTTGTGAGATACTAGAGGTTATTAGCGTCCAGCTTTCTCTGAAACGAAGTGCATTTTCGTGCTATAAAGGATGTTTCTGTGTAACCTCTTATATCCTTTATAATGCATCGCCAAACCCCTTGAGATTGATGGTATGGAACTGCTCCTTACGAATTTGTACTCGGCTCATTTGGCAATTCCAAGGCTGAAAGCATAGTTCCTGTCGCATTTCGATTTGACTGCTGTCAAGTCGTACTGATCATGCGATGAACGGTGGAGTTTAGTTTCGCCTGTACGCCAGCATGGCGACAGTCTTACGCGCGACGCGACTCGCCGGACCGCTCAAACTCAGCAGCCGCTCATTCTGTCCGCGGAGCGGCTCAGAGAACGTGTGCCATCGTGGCATAGTCCACGTCAGCGCGTGCCAGCGTGGCGAAGCTCGTGTCAGTGGACTTGCACGGTCCTCTTCAGATGCCTCGTCGTACCGCGTCGCTCTATCCGCCAATGACAGGCTACATAAGGACCACATACCTAATCGTCCAAGTAGATTAGAACTCTCCAGTTCGTTGAAAGGTTGCGGAATTAGATGGAGCAGCAGCAACAGCGGCGCCAGTAGCAGCAGCGGACGTGGCAGCCGGCGATTGGACGACGGCGTGAAACGAGCGGCTGGACTTGGACCGGTCACCGCGGCGGCTCAACCGGGCGAAGAGCTAATGCACCGTATGTGGGCTGCTAGTATCGCGGATATCGCTTTTGAACTGGATTGAAAGTGAAAATGACGGTTAAGAGTGAATCTGACGCATCCGCACCTCCTTTTGTCGTTTCCTCACAGTCACCCACATTCCCTCCTCTCCTCCCCATCCCCATCTCCCCGCCCTCCCATCTTTCCCCTCACACTCCACATTCCAACCCCTCACCCTCTCTCAATCCCTCTCACCGCCTCTCACCCCCCCCCTCACCTCCCCAATTTCCCCCCTCTTTCCCCACTCCTTTCCCCATTCTCTCTCCCCCCTCCCCTCTCTCCCTTCTCTCCTATCTCACCACCCATTCCTCGTTGTTTGGATCGTTACAGATTTGTACGAGATTCTTTGCTTATGATAACTCTCAAGAGTGACCCCCCAGTTCTCCTCCTCCTCCTCGTGTTGATCGTCTCAGAGTTTTACGAGAGTCGTCGAGAAGCAGAGGCGGTTAAAGATGTGACTTTTGAGTCGACTCAAAAGTCACCTCGATTCAAGAGTCCCTTCTCTCACCTCTCCGTTTCCTCCTCCATCTCCCCCCCCCCCCCCCCCCCCCACCCCCTACCCCCCCCCCTCGCCCTGATCGTTGCAGAGTTTTACGAGATTCGACGAGAAGCAGAAACAGTTAAAGAGCAACTAGCAGCCATCAGAGCCACTGCCGACGTGCCACGTCAGCGCGCAGCCATTGCTGACCTGGAGCGTGACGTGGCAAGGGAGGACCTGTGGGAGGATCCAGCTCAGGCGCAACAGCTGATGACGCAGCTCACAGAGCTCAAGGATGGCGTGAGAGAAGTCGAGGAGTTTGCAGATAAGGTAGGGCATGGGGAAGAAGGCAGGGCAGGGATGTGACGCCATCCTTTAGCGGCTGATGACGCAGCTCACAGAGCTCAAGGACGGCGTGAGAGAAGTTGAGTTTTTGGATAAGGTAGGGCGGTTCATGTGGCAAAGGGGGGTATGGGGATTGCGGGGCGTAAGGCTAGTGTGTACGCTCTGAGCTTGCTTGTCCAGCTTTCCATCTGAAGTTCTCTCATGGTGAACTGATATGGGATGCCTTGTCTTTTCTCATTCTCCACCCACATCTGATTTGTACCAATTTCCGAATTCCATGCCTGGTGGCATACATCCTTGCACTTGTTGTACCGCACTTCATCTCATTGCACTCCCGATTTTTGAATCCACACGCCCTCCTTCCCTACACCACCAACAGGTGGAGGAGGTGTGTCTTATAGTGGAGCTGCTAGAAACGGAGCAGACACCAGACGCGTCACTGGTGGAGGAGGCAAGGGAGGGGCTGCAGTGGGTGCGGGGGCACATGGAGCGATACGCTGTGGCTCAGCTGCTCTCAGGGCAGTTCGACCGCAAGGGCGCTCGGCTTACAATTGCTGCGGGTGCAGGCGGGACTGATGCCCAGGTAAGATTGGGTGTGATGGAATGGAGTGCGGTGGGATGTGGTGGGCGGGATGAGGGGCACATCAAGATCTATGCTGTGGCTCAGCTGCTGGCAGGACGGTTCGTCCGCAAGGGTGCACGGCTCACCATTGCTGCGGGTGCTGGGGGGATGGACGCACAGGTGAGATGGGGTGCAGGGCGGTATGGTGTGGTGCGGTGCGGTGCGGTGAGGTGTGGGTTGCAGAGTTGCATGCGGTGGGTTGACAGGCGGCGCTTTAAGAAGCGAGTTGCACGTTTGTGTGCTCACGTGCCTGAGCTTTTTTGTGTGCGAATCCTAAATACCTCAGGACTGGGCGGACATACTCCTGCGTATGTACACGTGGTGGGCGGACAGGCGGGGCTTTAAGAAACACAGTTCGATGTACTCGTGCGATTGATTTTCCCATGTATCAGTTCGATGTATCACCGGACTGGGCGGACATGCTGCTGTGCATGTACATGCGGTGGGCAGACAGGCAGGGCTTTAAGAAGCGAGTCGCACGTTTGTGTGCTCACGTGCCTGAGCTTTTCTGTGTGCGAATCCTGAACACCTCAGGACTGGGCGGACATGCTCCTGCGCTTGTACATGCAGTGGTCAGACAGGCAGGGCTTTAAGAAGCGAGTTGCATATATGAGCATCATTCATTCGCCCTTCCTCCTTCCCCTTGGAACATATGTCAGGACTGGGCGGACATGCTCTTACGCATGTACTCACGGTGGGTGGACAGGCGGGGCTTTAAGAAGCGAGTGGTGGAGCGGTCGGACGGGGAGGAAGCGGGGATCAAGAGTGCCACGCTTGAAGTGGAGGGGCGGTATGCCTACGGGTATCTGAGTGGGGAGAAGGGCACTCACCGGCTTGTTAGGCAGTCACCATTCAATGCCAAGGGGCTCCGACAGGTGGGTTGGTCGATGCACAAGGGGGAGGCGCGGTATGCCTACAGGTACCTGAGTGGAGACAAGGGCACTCACTGACTAGTCAGACAGTCGGCATTCAACGCCCAAAGGGCTGAGACAGGTGGGCTTGTGTTGTATGTACACGTGTACCTTGGAAAGCATGAAGGTAGGATGCGTATTGTACAGGTCATTTGTGGTTGGGCAGTCCGGTGGTTTTGAGACGTCTCAAAACAAGGTAGGATGCGTATTGTACAGGTCATTTGTGGTTGGGCAGTCCGGTGGTTTTGAGACGTCTCAAAACAAGGTAGGATGCGTATTGTACAGGTCATTTGTGGTTGGGCAGTCCGGTGGTTTTGAGACGTCTCAAAACAAGGTAGGATGCGTATTGTACAGGTCATTTGTGGTTGGGCAGTCCGGTGGTTTTGAGACGTCTCAAAACAAGGTAGGATGCGTATTGTACAGGTCATTTGTGGTTGGGCAGTCCGGTGGGGAGAGGCCGGTCAGGGGGCGGTCAGCGGGATGTAGGTCTTCAATACTCCCTCTTGCATTCTTACCTCTCTCATTCCCCCGCAGACGAGCTTCGCAGGGGTGGAGGTTATGCTTCTGGTAGAGGAGGAGGCGATGAAGGTGGAGATTCCCGAGGATGACCTGGATGTGACTATAATGAGGGCGGGATGTGACAACACCGAACTTCGATGTTACCCCCTTCTTTTCACCCTGTCCTGTACCTCACAGACGAGTTCATCAGGGGTGGAGGTGATGCCTTTACTAGAGAAGAAGAAGCGATCAATGTGGAGATGTTCTGAGCAGGACCTGGATGTGACTACAATGAGGGCTTAAAAGCCCTCTTCCGGCTTGCGTTCTACCCTCTCTCACAACTAAATCCACAGACGAGTTTTGCGGGGGTGGAGGTGATGCCACTGCTGGAGGAAGAAGCCATCAAGGTGGAGATTCCCGAGGATGACAACCTAGATGCGACTACAATGAGGGTTTGAAAGCTCCCTTCCCCCTTGCATTCTACCCTCTCTCACAACTATATCCACAGACGAGCTTCGCGGGGGTGGAGGTGATGCCTCTGCTAGAAGAGGAGGCAATCAAGGTGGAGATTCCCGAGGATGACCTGGAAGTGTCTACTATGAGGGCGGGCGGCAAGGGCGGGCAGAACGTGAACAAGGTGGAGACGGCCGTGCGCATGGTGCACGTGCCCACGGGGATCGCTGTCAAGTGCTCAGGTGGGTGTAGAGCGGTAATGAGCGGTGATGAGTCGTTCTGGTGCTGGGGCACGGTGGTGAGGTGAACAAGGTGGAGACGGCGGTACGCATGGTGCACGTGCCCACGGGGATCGCTGTCAAGTGCTCAGGTGAGGGGAAGTACAATGAGGTGATGAGCGGTAATGGGTGGTTCAAGTGCTGGCACGCGGTGGCAAGGTGGAGACGGCCGTGCGCATGGTGCATGTGCCCACGGGGATTGCTGTCAAGTGGTCAAGTGAGGGGTGGATATCAAGGCTGATTAGGTGGTTGGAGTGTTGACACACTGTGGGTGATGATTGGTGATGAGTGGTGATGAGTGGTGATGAGTTGTTCAGGTGCTGGTATATGGTGGGAAGCTAGCAACGAGGCAAGGTGGAGGAGATAACAGTGCGCCTGGTGCACGTGCCCACGGGGATTGCCGTCAAATGCTCAGTTGGGTGATGAGCGGTGATGAGCGATGAAGAGTGGTGAATCGTGGTGAGTGGTGATGAGTGGTGATGAATAGTTGAGGTGCTGGCACACTGTCGCAAGGTAGAGACGGCAGTATGCATGGTGCATGTGCCCAGGGGGATCGCAGTCAAGTGCTCAGGTGAGCAGAAGGCAATGAGGTAATGGTGGTAATGAGTGGTTCAGGTGCTGGCACACAGTGGCAAGGAGGCAAGGTGGAGACAGCAGTGCACATGGTGCATGTGCCCTTGGGCATTGCCGTCAAATGCTCAGGTGGGTCATGAGCGGTGATGAGTAGTGATGAGTGGCTGCAGTGCTACCGCACAGTGGCAAAGTGTAGACAGCAGTGTTCATGGTGCACGTGCCCACGGGGATTGCCATCAAATGCTCTGATAGCAATCAATAGCTCCATGCTCCCTCTGCCCACTTGCTACCCAGCGTCTCTTCCATCCTCCATCTCCCTAAACCTGTTCAGAGGAGCGGTCACAGGCGCAGAACAAGGCAAAGGCACTCGCAATGCTCAAGGCGAAGCTGCTAATTATTCTGGAGGAGCAGAGAGCAGCGGAGATAAGAGAAATCCGAGGAGACGTTGTGAAAGCGGAGTGGGGGCAGCAGATTCGGAACTATGTGCTGCATCCGTATAAGCTGGTGAAGGATTTGAGGACGGAGTATGAGACGAGCGATGTTGGAGGTGTACTGGATGGCGATTTGGATGAGTTTATGGAGAGTTATTTGCGGTGGAAGCAACAACAGCAGCAGAAGCAGGAGCAAGAGCAGCAACAGCAGCAGCACCTGGTTTGAAGCCTGGGGAACACGAGAGTGGTCTGTTGACGTGGAGCCTGATAATTAAGATAGGGTTTTATCCAGAAAATACATTTGCTTTCATTTGTACTAAGAACATGACGTTGAAATTTCTCAATTCATCCTCATATGGTGTAGGGCTGAGGCATTATCCAAGACTATTTTTATTTGTGGAGAGTTTCTTGGCGCAGACAACTGTCAGACGCTGAGCTGACACGAACAGGCTGGAAACGGAATATTCTTGTGTCTGCCACGTCAGGCCTACCCTCAAGTGGTCCCACCTACCAGCTCCGTGACAAATATCCCTGCTCCAATTGATGCACACGTGTACCGGGTCAACGCCAGCAGACGCTGATGCTGGATTCGAAGAAAACTTACGCTGGTTTCCACGGCTGCAAGTGAATTTTAGAATCTCACCAATCATAAGCCGGCCGTCTTCATCGTTGGCGATACAAAGCAAGATGTGGCGCCACGAAAGTTGCCCAGATGGAACGGACCAGCCACGGAGCAGCACCGACATGACCCATGAGTCACACACACATCTCCCCGCCACTTCACGCGAAGATGGTCGTCCACTTGCCCCATGCCATCCCATCTTCCCCCCAGCGCAGCACAGCTTACCCCCGAACCTTGAAGTCTGGCAGGAGGGGTGATGTGCTGTTCCATCCACTTGAGGTGGAAATATGCGTGGAAAGTGCTCGTCCCCGCCATTCTGGGATGCGGGGAACGCTGCAGAGCGGAACGAAACACATTCGTGATCGTTCCGAGGTCGTGTGGTTTGGCGTCGCAACGACGCGTTTCGCAACATTTATTTCGCCGTGATTAGGGGGAACGATTGACGACGATCAATTACCTTCGTAACCATCGCAAACCATGGATTTTGGCGGTCTTCCTATTTCCCTCGAGTTCTCACCACTGCACCGCCAATCCATGCCGGTCATCGCATGAAGAAGCAATTCGGTTTGGTGCTGCTGACAGAAGTCAACCGTCAGCTTCGCACAAACGTCGTCGTCAGGTCTCCCCGCTCTCGAAATCGACGTGCTGTCTAACGGTTCACTTTCCCGTCAAGCTTGCACGGAACCTGACCTGATCCCATATCTTCCCCAACCCCCAGTCACGCAAAAAACCCTTCCCTCACACCCCTACCACCTGAATCCTCTCTCCCCCCTCCCAGGTGGCTGTACAGTACAGTGGGTCTCTCTGACACACACCCCTTTCCCTTTCCTGGCTGGAGTTAGTGATTCAGTGAACTATGATAATAGCTCGTGGTTCTCAGTTCACCATACTCCTGACTTAGTTCCCTTTCCACTCTCTGCCGAGGCTCAGACCCTCGCAGTCGCCTTCCGTCAATGCAACCCATGGTTAGAGCTACTGAAGCTCGTATACCATACATTGACACCAGTATCCGTTGGCCATGGTGATTTAGCAAGTCACGGCCAATTCCGAAGCATCTGTGGAACAGGAAGTCGAGGTTTCTCAGGGAGTGTGGTGATCTGCATGGAGATCACCGGGAACCGTGTGTTCTCTTCGGTCCATTCTGGTGAAATCTGCATAGCAGGAGTGGTTTCATTAACGCGCAGCGGTGGTTCGCAACCAGTTCTTCTCTGATCGAGGCATTCGAACAAGATGAATCCGGCAAGGCGGAGCAAGCGGATCTCAGATCCCGTAGAAGCATCGGTGGTTGAGCGCTTCTTCACGCACAAGGCCGTCGTCAAGCCAACAATGGCTCAGGAAGCTTCAGGCAAGACCCCACCCGCTGCTGCTCAGCAGCGTCGGCGTGTCAGTAAATCTAACGTTGTGCTTCCTGTGGTTGCTGGTCTGACGCACCCTGGTGCAGATGCCAGAGGTCCATCTACGACTGTTGCCAAGGATCCAGAGCTGGACCTTCTTTATCATGAGGATTCAATTCAGGAGTCCTCAAAAGAATCACCTGTACAGACGAAGGCTGTACAGTCCATGTCTCGCGACTCCGACGAGGAAGACGAATGGGCTGAACTAGCCATGACCGTCAAGCTGGTAAGCCTGCAGTGAACTTGGTTTGCTCGCTAGTGTTGAAACTTTAAACATTGGTTAATTCCAGAGTCTAATTATTTGTTTTTTCGTACATGCAGTGCCTTGCGACCGCTGCTCCCTCGGAGAAACTACTCGAAGAGCACGTGAAGCTGGTGATGGAATCACCGAAGTCCGGAATTCAAATTGCCACTAATCCTGAAAGTGTTCTCTCACAAACCCCCACTAGCGTCTCTTCAACTGATTCGCCTCCTGCTTATTATTCTCCGTCGTCGTCGCCTCCGCGTGACGCGACTGCTGCCAATCGCATGAAGGTCGCTGCTAGCCTTGCAGCCTCTCGCCGTCATGACGTCATGCTGTGTCATGCTGCGTGGCCAACCACTCATGAGGCTCCTTCTGGAGAATACGACTTTTTGGAGATTTCCATGGCGTCGAGCGCAAGGGGATCAGGATCTGGAGGTTCTCCCACATCTGTTCTGGACGGTTCTCCATTCAAGCCTTCCAACTGGCACAGCAGGAAACCGGAGGGATCACTGTGCTCTCTCAATAATCAGCCACGTCATCAGGAGCAGAAGCAGCAATACCAGCAGCAGTCTGCTGCACAGTGGCCGACGCCTTCCGCGCTGCTTCCCGCGCAGCCGTGCCTGCTGTTGCCATCTCAGCGTGTGGTTGTGGATGTGTCCTTCAGGCAGCAGTTTGAAGTGGCTCGCCCGACCCCTCGTTATGCCGAACTTCTCTCTCAGCTTCCCTCCGTGTTTGTCGGCGGACGTCAGCGGCTCAAACCCCTTGTCACTGCCCTGGCTACCGCCATGAACCTGTCACTCCAAAGCAGTGGAATCGCGATAGCTCCCTGGCGCCGAACTAAGTATCTCTTAAGCAAGTGGTTCCCCACAACGGATGCTGGAACTGCTATCCCTGAGGCTCGCACCCAGATCCTACCAGAGATGGTGGCGGGAGACCTTCCTCCTACCCCTGTGACAGCCGCGCCTACGAACCTGCCACTCGCAACGACTGCTGAATTGGTTGCTGCTGCGGCCATGAAAGCTGCCGACGCCTTACCTGGCTTTTTAGCAATGCCTGTAGCTGCTGGTGTGGCGAACGACACATGCCAGAATGGCGAGAAGGGTCTTGGCAAAGCTGGAAGCAACAAGGTTCATCGGGTAGTGACTGACAGCCTGGCAGAGATGTCTCAGCTGCAGTTGCTGGCAAGCAAGGAGGTACTCAAGTGCTGCCATAACCACAATCTGGCACACCAGAAGAATACCAATGTCCCTTCAGCTGCTGCTGGTGCCACTGGTGCTGCTGGTGTGGTAGGGTTTGCTGTTGATGACTGGAAGCCTCCCGCAGTGGCTACCAAGCGTCGATCTGCTTGCAGGGAGGGCTGTCTGTCCCTCTGCATGCGCCTTCAGGAGGGGGAGGAGGGGGAGATGTATTGAGTGCTAAGCTTATAGAACATAAGTTGCCGGCTGGCTTCCTTTGTGTACATGCTTATGTTCTAACCTGTAGTTAGCTGTGATGACCTCATACCTACCAGCCATAGAATTTGGATGGAGGCAAATTTTGTATTCCCGTTATTCTTCATCTGACCAGCATTGTTTGTACCCGCACCCGAGACTGGATTTAATAAACTAGCAGGAACTTGGCATGAGTGAAGAACATGGCAATGAGCTAGAACATTATTTTCTGTAAAAAGAATCAACTAAAACACTACGTTCTACGAATATACCCTGCTTTTATCGCATCCCTGCTTTTATCAGAGCTCGCCAAATTGTTGGGGACTGAACGGGGGTTCCCGAAGAGCTATGATTTCCGCGTCTGGTCTGGTTTGGTGGCGGGAGCGGCTGTGGCCCAAGTCAATTTAGGACGCAGCATGGAGTCCGTCTCTGTCGCGCTCGCCGAAGCTGTGGGGCGGCGGTTCCAGTGTTCACGAACCACAATGAGGGAACGGCGACATTCTCGAGCAGCCTCGTCTTCCGTCCATTTTCACCCCGTCATCCAATCAACAGCTAGTAGGACTTGTCTTTTCGTTGACGAACCTAGTTTATGGCCAGCGGGCGTGTTTAGCGGAAACGCGACCCGTAAACATTTGCGGGCAGCGACGCCTGAGCTTGCTGCCCAGAAACTCCTCGATTGCAGTTGCGCGAGTCGCAATGTTGTCCTTCCGACAGCTCCGAGCTTCTAGGTTCCGAGGACTCGGACAGCTCGTATTGGTTGGCTAGACCTCTCTTGCTCTCGGATCCAATCACAGAGCTGTGTCAGAACACTTTTTGGAGTGTTTTTTTCCACGTCGGGCAGCATGCTTGCTTCCTCCCCAGCCTCGAGAGTTTTGAGTCTCCACCCGAGCTCCATCCACTCTTCCTTGCAACCTCCTCCCTTCCCGAACACTAGAAAGCCCACCCGTTCACCTCATTCCCACCACCACATCAGCTGCAAGTTTCATTCTAACTCCGAAGGCTGACTAGCTCCACGAGACTTCAGCTCCTAGCTTCGCCACTCGTTCCGCCTGTGCGATTAGCCTGTCGCTCCTAGTGCGATGGCATCTCTGACCACCCCGTCGCTTGTTGGATCCGCGAGCCGTGCCGTGAACGCCGCGGCGTGCAGCAGCAGCAGCGTGATGTCCACTCGCCGTGCTAACATCGTGAAGATGTGGCGGCGCGCGATTGCATGGCGCGTGGGGCGCTTCAGCGAGAAAGAGCAGTGCGCTCTGCGCTCCCCCCGTGCGTCGCTCGGCTTCTCCCCTCTGCGACCCAAGCCTGTGGCTAAGCCGCCCAGCAAGAAGCCCAGGCCCAGGGATGTGATGGGTACCGCTGCTGCTGTGAAGCCCAGAGCGGTGCAGAGCGGTCAAGCGACCGTCACAGCTGCAGCAGTCAAAGCCACGCCGGCTAAGGCGACGCCAACAAAGGCGTCGCCAGCTAAGGCGACGCCAGCCAAAGTGACGCCAGCTAAGGTGACGCCAGCCAAGGCGACGCCAGCTAAGCCGACGCCAGCCAAAGTGACACCAGCTAAGGTGTTGCCAGCTAAGGTGACGCCAAGTAAGGCGGCGCCAGCTAAGGTGACGCCAAGTAAGGCGACGCCAGCTAAGGCGGCGCCAGCCAAGGCGACTGTTGCAGGAGGTGTGAAGGTTCCAGGTGCAAGCAGCCCAGCAGCAGCACCAGCAGTACCAGCTGCAGCGGGTCCCCACAGCCCGAAGGCGGGTGTTGTTGGCGCAAGTGGAATCCCGAGACCAGCAAGCAATGCGACACCAAGGAGGGCCGTAGTAGGAGTGACGTCAAGTGGTATTCCCAAGCCAGGAAAGGTAGCAACCAAGTGAGAGAGTGCAAAAAAAAAAAAAAAAAAAAAAAAAAAAGCAACACAGCAGCAGCAGATGAGATCTGGGGCGTGTCCAATGAGGATGTGAGGGGACGAGTGTGATGGGTGAGATGGCATGGCTGGTGGGGGCTAGAGGGAGGCGCATGGAGGGAACTGCCCCTTTTTCCACCCTGCTTGCAGGGTGTTGTGGGAGAGATGGGAGGAGAGGTGGAGGAATGTGGTGAGCTGGAATTGGGATGCATGGCATGAGGGGGAAGAGCATGGCCTTGGATCCGCTGCTGCAGCACACATGCACATGCTTAGCTCTTGAATAGTAAAAATTTCTAGATAGTTCTATATCGTGTTCTAGATTAGGAATGTGTAATCATTGATGCTATATTTATATTTATGATGTTTATGTGCATTCTGTGGTTGTGTGTTGTGACTGAGTGGTGTATGGAAGGGAGGAATGGTTGGTGGGTGTATTGGTGTGGCAAGGAATGCTCATTGTCACATGGTCAATGGTAGTATTTTCTCTTGTTTCTCTCCCTCCTATCATCTCTTTGAGTTTATAACCATGCGTATGATTACGTTTAACCAGGATTTGGTTTCTTCCAGTCGTGTCATCATGGTGAGTACTTCAGTTTGGTGAGTATCTCGCACCTGTTTTATTCCAGTTTCAGTTTCATTGTCTTTCCAGTTCAGGTCCTCATGCTTTCATTTCATCTCTCTTCCCAGTTTTATCAGCTTGTAACTCGTTCCCTGTCTCATTCCGATTGAATCGGCTCAAGATTCTTTCAGACTAGCATGTCATTCACGTTTCATAAAACTTTCAGTGGTTAATGTTAGTCTCATTCAATCATGAGCCATTGCAATCTACAGTTCCCCCCCCCTCTGTTGTCTCCTTAGAATAGCATATCACCATCTACACGCATCCCTTCCCCTTTCCTCTCCTCCCATCCCTCTGAAACGTGAACAGTGAAGATGGTTAAAGCTGTAAGGTATCCAGCTGTGTTTTCCTTTCCGGCTGTCAGTTTGCATTGAGTTTTTCATGCAAGTCTTACCAGCTCATCACTCTTGTACACGGTCATTACCGTTTCATTAGCTCATCATTTATTGCTCACATGAGCTCATGATGGTTTCAGTGGCTTGTGCCAGTTTCATCTCATCATGTTGCTGTGAGGGAGTGGTATCTGGGTGGGAGAGAGGGATGGCCGGCGGGAGTGCTCTGATTTGAGAGGATTTATGGTACTACGTACTTGCCATGTTTGCGCGTTTTCTGAGCAAAAACGAAAATTCCTCTTCTATCCTCTTCCCCTTCCCTCATACCTATCCATATTGCTTCCCACTCCCATCCCCTTTTTCTCCCCACTCCGTTTGTCAACTAAGGATTAGCCATGACAGATGCTGTGAGGTGAGCAGCCTCAATCGCACCAAATGATTGATCTTAGCATCTCATGCGACTGGCATCCACTCATGCTACATTCAAAATCTCATGCCATTCACCAGCACCTGTTCTTTCTGAAAGCTCATGCCGATTTCATCATTTTTCATTAATTTCAGGATCCCGTGTCAATGTCCTTAGCATGTGCTCTCTCAGGTATCTCATGCCAATGTCATCTTGCAATGATAAAAAGATTCCTTGTCTAGATCCTAAGAACATTGTGCTTTCAGGTATCTCACTCCCAGTTCACCATCTTACTGTGCTATCATGATCCCTTGCCCGTCTCCTTGCCACATTAGCCTTTCAGGTACGGTATCTCTTCCCAATGTCATCATCTTATGCTGCGATCATGGTCCCTTGTCAATCTCCTCGCCACATGATCCATTCAGGTATCTCGCATGCCTGTTTCATCACCTTACAATGGTTTCATGATCCCTTGTCCATTTCCTCACCACTGATGCTTTCAGCAGCAGTTTATGTCAATTGCGTTGGTGCACTGTGGTTTAAATAATTCTTGTCCATTTCCCCTCTTCGTGATGCTTTCACTAGCTGACGCCAGCTTGTCATCGTGCTCATGATAGTTTTATTTTTGATGCCAATCCTATCAACTAAGCACATCATTCATATCTGCATCCTTCAATGTGAACGAAGCTTGTAGTGCCCTTGTATACATACACTGCACATCAATGGAATCTGATTAATTGAATAAATTTATATATTTAGAAGAATACCGCAAGCCATCTCAGTGAGACACAAATGCTACATGTCCTCACAAAAACCACAAGTCCTGATAAACGAGAGCCTGACAAAGCACATGATTCACAGTGCGCTAAGGCTCTCTCCACTCCTATCTCCTCTACCTCTCTACCACCTCCACCAGCTCCTCCCCATCATCCTCTCCCTTATACGGATTCTGCGATCACATGACGTGAGTCACAGAGCACTGAGGCTCTCCTCTATCTCCTCCACCTCTGGATCTACCTCCACTAGCTCCTCCTCTTCCTCCTCCCCCTCGTACACAAACGACAGCACCCCATCCTCCTCCCCTTCCACCACAACACCACCACCACCACCCTCCACTCCCTCTCCCTTCTCCCCCTCTCCATCCGCAACCCCTTCCTTTTCCACCTCGCCCCGGCTACCCCCCTCCCCAGTCCCCTCCGCAGCCTCTTCGAGAGAGGGGATTTCGAGAGATGGGTCAGAAGTAGAGGGGGAGGGGGAGTGGGAGGAAGAGGAGGAGGTGGGGAACTGGTGGCAGTTGATGAAGTGGATGGGCTGTCGTACCGTGCGGAAGAGGCTGGGGCAGCAGGAAAGGTGGGGGTGGGGAGGATGTGCGGAAAATGAATGAGAGCAGTTGTTAGGAAAGGTTTGAGCCAATCCGAAAACACCTCCACAGGGTAACTGGTGGCAGTTGATGAAGTGGATGGGCTGCCTCACTGTGCGGAAGAGGCTGGGAAAGGAAAAAAGGGGGGAAGAAAAAAAGGGGTAAAAGAGGGAGCGAAGCTTTAGTAAATTAGAAAAACATCCCCGCAGGGGAACTGGTGACAGTTGATGAAGTGGATGGGCTGCCTCAGTGTGCGGAAGAGGCTGCGGGAGGAAGAAGAGAGGCGGGAAAGGGGGGGAGGAATGGGCGGAAGACGGGCAAGTGTGTAATTGAGGCGCCTCAAAACAGGACTCGTGGCAGTTGATGACGTGCATGCACTGCCGCACCTGTTTTTTTAGTATTCTCCAAAAGAAAAATTCCGCTCCGTGCGGAAGGAAGAGGCTGGCAGAGCAAATTGGTGCGCAGGCAGAGCCAGGTAGTATTCACACAGCGGTGACTTGAGCCCTGAAGCTAGAAACCACAATCCAACCTACTACAAACAAACCAGCAAAGCAGCCCAAGTGGGTATTGCAGCCGTGAAGCTCACTCAGCCTACAGGTGCCCCCCCTCCCTATTACAAACTAACCAGCCCAACAACCCAAGTGGGGACGTACGGATGTGAGCAGAGCAGGTTGGTGTGCAGAGCAAGCTCGTATTCACACGTGGTGCATACGGCCTACACCCCTGAAGCCACCACAACCTACGCTACAAGCTACCCTACAGCCTACACCCCACCCCAACCCAGAAGAACGTACGGGTGGGAGCAGAGCAGGTTGGTGTGCAAAGCTAGCTCGTATTCATGCGTGGTGGTTGCATCCCTGAAGCCACAACCTTCACTACACGCCAGCCTAGAGCCTACACCCCAGCCCAGCAGCCCAAGTGGTGAACGTACGGGTGCAAGCTCGTATTCACACGTGGTGACATCAGCCCAAGAGCTTCAACCTTTTGAGAATTCTCAAAAGTGATTTCAATAGAGCTACAACCTACATGCCAACCAACCTTCAACGCAGCCTGCAACCAGCAAACAGGCTTAGAACCACAAATAGTGCACGTACGGGTGGGAGCAGAGCAGGTTGGTGTGCATAGCTAGCTCGTATTCACACGTGGTGGTTGCATCCCTGAAGCCACAACCTTCACTACACGCCAACCCACAGCCTTCATCCCAGCCCAGCAGCCCAGGTGGTGAACGTACGGGTGGGAGCAGAGCAGGTTGGTGTGCAGTGCCAGCTCGTATTCACACGTGGGTCCCTCCTTGATTGTCCCCATGAAAGTCTGCGCGCCCTCCTCACACACGTGCCGCACCTGAGGGATGAGAGCACGAGGGGAGCAATGAGGAGACCGGGGGACGAGGGAATGTAGAGTGGCAAGGATATGAAGGAGTTGAAAGGCGTGTAGAGTGGTCAGGGGTTAGAGTTGACCCAAAGAACGTCTGTGCGCCCTTCACACACGACATGACAACCTTGTCACTACAGCATGCTCACCGTACCTCACACCTCCCCACCCCTGCATGTCCCTCTCCACACATGCGCACACCTCCCCACCCAGTCATTTAACACACCACCCACTCACACACCTACCCACCCATTCACTTACCTCCCCACCCGTCCCCTTTAATCCCCACTCATACCTCCCCACCCATCCACTTACCTTCCCACCCATTCACTTACCTCCCCACCCATTCACTTACCTCCCCACCCATTCACTTACCTCCCCACCCATTCACTTACCTTCCCACCCATCCACTTACCTCCCCACCCATTTACGCACCTCGGTGCGACGGCCAGCGCCAGTGAGGTCGCAGGCTGTACCATTGGTGTACACATGCACGTGGTACCTGATCGGGGGTGGGGGAGAGAGAGGGGAAGGGAGAGGGGGGGAGGGGATGGGGGGCAAAGCATTACAGCACACATAACACCCAGCGCCAGTGAGGTCGCAGGCTGTGCCATTGGTGTAAACATGCATGTGGTACCTGTAGAGGTGGGGAGGGGTTGATGGGTGGGGCAAAGCCGTCCCACACAGCAATCGATTTGAAAATTCTAGGCGCCAGCGAGGTCACAGGCTGTACCATTGGTGTATACATGCACGTGGTACCTGATGGGGGGGAAGGGAGAGGGGGGGAGAGGGAGGCAGAGGGGGGGGGGGAAGAGGGGATGGGATGGGGAGTAAAGCATCACAGTAGTCATCACATTGGTGGGGTCGCAGGCAGTGCCAGTGAGGTCGCAGGCAGTGCCAGTGAGGTCGCAGGCAGTGCCAGTGAGGTCGCAGGCAGTGCCAGTGAGGTCGCAGGCAGTGACAGTGGTGTAGACATTCACGTGGGGAGAGGGAAAAGATGGGGGGTGGAGGGAGGTTGGGGGGGTAAAAAGCTCACACACGCTGGGTAAACAGCCGAGTCAAGACATGCTGCCCGCCCCCACACGCTCACCTCTTTCCCCCATCGCCGCCACCAGCAGCAGCAGTCGCTTCAAGCCTCCTCTGTGCGCGCAGTGACTCGCGTGCGCTGTAGCGCCCCAGGACAAAGTCCATCGTCACCTTGTTCTCGCCCTCCTGCTGCTCGATGTGCATCTGGCGAATGTGCGTCTTGTAGCAAAACTCGTACGTCCACCACCCGTCTTGCTGCACACAATTGGGTCCAGGGGAGAGGGGTCAGGGGGAGGGGAAGGCAGGTGCGGAAGGGAGAGGGAAAGCAGTGACTGTGAGGTGCCTCAAAAGCTGCTCACTTCGATGTGCATCTGGCGAATGTGCTTCTTGTAGCAAAACTCATAACGTCCACCACCCGTCTTGCCGCACAGATTGATTGAGGCAGGAGAGGGAAGGCAGAGGGGAGGTGCGGAGGGGGGAGGGAAAGCAGTGATATGTGAGGCGCCTCAAGAGGTGCTCGATGTGCATCTGGCGAATGTGCTTCTTGTAGCAAAACTCATACGTCCACCACCCGTCTTGCTGCACACGCATTCGGAGAAAGGGGGGGAGGAAGGAAGGGGAAGGGGGAATAGGGGCAGAGGAGAGGTGCGGAAGGGAGAGGAAAGGCAGTGACGTTCAAGGTGCCTCAAAAGCAGCTCACATCGATTCGATGTGCATCTGCCTCAGCCAAGCATTCTAAGGCGCCTTCAACACAACTCATACGTCCACCGTCTTAAAGCTGCTCACATCGATTCGATGTGCATCTGCCTCGGGCAAGCATTCTAAGGCGCCTTCAACACAACTCATACGTCCACCGCCCATCTTGCTGTTTCGATTGGGGGGAAGGGAGGCATTGGAGAGTGGCGGAGGGAAAAGGGAGGGCAGGAGAAGGCTACTGACTACGCTTCACCCTATGCTTTGATATCACCATACAGTATAGTGTGTAACCATGTACCCCATACAAACTGACCCGGTAGAAGCACGGCAGCCCCTTCATCGCACCTAGCAGCCCCCCCGGGCTCTTCCGGCTCTCCCCAAACGCCACTCCTGGTGTATCAGTAACTTGTGGGTCGGCCCAAAACACAGCTTACAAGTTACACGTACCCGGTAGAAGCAAGGCAGGCCCTTCATGGCATCTAGCAGGTCTTCAGGACTCTTCCGGCTCTCCCCAAACGCCACTCCTGGTGTGTTGTGAGTCGACTCAAAGCACAGGGAATACGCACCCGGTAAAAACAGGGTAACCCCTTCATGGCATCCAGCAGGTCTTCCGGACTCTTCCGGCTCTCCCCAAACGCCACTCCTGCTGCCCCGCCCTTCCCCCCGGCCCCTTCTGCCCCTCCCCCGCCAGCACCAGGAGAGGCCAAGGAGGAGAGCGTGGGTGGGGGGAGGATGCAGCGGTAGCGTGTGCCGTCACTGGCAGTCATCTCAACCGACTCTAGACCCGGTTCCTGATAAGTAATGTGACAGAGGGAAGGCACGGGAGGGAGGATGGCATGGGGAGAGTTTGATTCTGGTCCTCCAGAGGAGAGAGCGTGGGCGGAGGGAGGATGCAGCGGTAGCGCGTGCCGTCACTGGCGGTCATCTCAACCGACTCTAGACCCGGTTCCTGATAGGGCAAGAGGGGACGGAACGGGGTGAGGCTAGTTTCGAGGCGCCTCACGAATAGAGTGTGGACAGGCGGAGGATGCAGCGGTAGCGTGTGCCGTCACTGGCAGTCATCTCAACCGACTCTAGTCCCGGTTCCTGATAAGTAATGTGACAGGGGGAAGGCACGGGAGGGAGGATGGCATGGGTAGGAGAATGCAGCGATAGCGTGTGCCGTCACCGGCAGTCATCTCAACCGACTCTAGACCCGGTGGGAGGCAACCGACTAGTTGCTGATGGGAGTGAGGGGACAAGGGAGGCAAGGGAGGGTGGAACGGGGAGAATAGTTTTGAAGCACGTGATAAACAGAGCGTGGGAGGGGTAGGATGCAGCGATAGCGCGAGCCGTCACTGGCAGTCAGTTCAACCAACTCTAGACAGGGCTCCTGATAGAGCTCCTGATAGAGCTCCTGATAGGCCTCCTGATAGAGCTCCTGATAGGGCAAGGGAGGATGGAATGGAACAGGGGTGAGACTAGTGTCGAGGCGCCTCACGAATTGAGTGTGGACAGGCAGAGGATGCAAACGCAGCGATGCAGTCACATCCCATCCCACCCCACCCTACCCCACCCCACCCCACCCCAACACACCCCACCCCATCCCACCCCACCCCACACCACCCCATCCCATCCCACCCCATCCCATACCATCCCTCCCACCCCTCCCATCCCACCCCACACCACCCCATCCCATCCCATCCCATCCCATCCCATCCCATCCCATCCCATCCCATCCCATGCCATCCCAACCCATCCCCATTCCTTTTAACCCATAATGTGCTTCTTCACCACCTCTCCCACGCCACGCCCTCCCCAGTGAACCCGCGCTCACGTCAACTGGCAGGGAGGCAGGCGTGGGGTGTCCTTTTCCACCTGTCATGTACTTTCAATCAACTCATCATGCGTTTTCCCACCACCAGCACACACTCGCTCCCCAGTGAACCTTCACTCACGTCAACTGGCAGGGAGGCAGGCGTGGGGTGTGAGGCGGCGGGAGAGGAGGATGGAGTGGAGGGGGTGGAGGGGGTGGAGGGGGGAGGCCAGAAGACGACCGAGAGTTTGGGCTGCTTGCTGTCGGCAGGGAAGGTCATTTGACCTGCAGTGACGCGACGGGAATGGGGCAGACAGAGAAGATAGGTGACAGGGACAGAGGAGGAGAAGTGGGGAGATAGGTCACAGGCAGAGCAGATAGGTCACAGGAACAGAGGAGGAGGGAGAGTATTAGTCGAGTCTACACGCAGTGAGGCCCTGTGTTTGCTGCCTCTGTGGAGGTTGCTGCTATCGGGGATGTAAGAAGTGACTTGTATTGAAGGCGGATAAGGACAAAACGGTTCGCCTCAACGCTTTGGAGAGGGGAGGAAGGGAACATCAGCTTCGGCTTCCTGCTTTGGAGAGTAATCTCGAGAATTTTCACAAGGCACCGCAGCGAGCGAGCTAAGTTACGAGTCGACTCATAAGACAGACAACGTGCGAACGCGCGGGAGAGCAACCCGGCGAGCAACGCGCGAGCGAGCGGCCCTGTGATAGGCAACGCGCGAGCGAGCGAGCGAGCGAGCGTACCGACGCGCGAGCCGAAGATGAGGTCCGCCATGACGCCGCGGGACGGTAACACGGCCATCATCGCGATCACGATGGTAACCAGCGCCTCGAAAGCGCTGCGTTTCGCCATCTCGATCACGGCCCGACGTCTGGAAGTCCCTGAAACGTGGAAGCGACAGGAAACTAGGACCTCGTGTGGACGTTCTGGAAGAGTGGAAGCGCCTCGACGTGCAATGGTTGGAACGGTCGAGTCGAAACAAAAGCATCTGTCAATCTGGAATTTCTTTTTTGGGTTGCGAAGCAACCCTTGACGATCGATTTTGACAATTTTTTTTTCATGGTTATTTTTTAATAAAACATGAAAAAAAGGTTGTAAGCTACACTATCACCCTTCCCATTGTGCATGTTGAAGTGTTTTGAATGTTGGTAGCAGTTTTTGAAGTAGTTTTGTGCATAAATGCTATACTGTTTGTATTATATCTTTTACTATTTAATGTAGTGATAATTGCATGTAATAAATGTTATGAGTACTAATAATGAATTACACGCCACACATGCTTAAATGAATGAAATGATGAGGCATGATATATGGGTGCATACCTAATAAAGATACACACATGAAAATGCATTTGTATGCATATGATATGCTGAAATGCACCACACCAGTATATCATACAAATACGTGATAGTTAACGACCCAAAAACTAGGCTACCGCATCCCCTGCCTAGCATGGGGGGGAAGTCAATAGCAAAGTCTTTGAATAATCAACTAGCACATGAAACAATACAATCTGCTAACTCTAAAAAAGAGGTTCACTCTATCAAATCCAGTTGGAAGTGGCAAACACACGAGTCACTGAGTGCGCCAATGAACCAATGAGAAATGATAGAATTGAACCCCCTTTTTAAAATTAGCAGACATGCATTGTTATTGCTATGAAGAATTTACACACACTTATACACACATACGCATATATATCAGAAGAAGTAAACGAGAATGAATGAACTATGAATGAAGTGAGTACAAATATGAAACCCTAATTGGGTTGTACCCCCTATGGGATACCCCACTATAGCCTACACAAATAAGTAAGCTATAATGTTCTGACACACCCCCATAGGCAAAGTGGGGGAGAACAAGGGGTCACAAGACCAGTCAAGCAAAGCAAAGCAAAGCTCAGGGTGGATCACAAAGTCACCACACATTCCGAGCGCAAGGTCAAGGGCCACAAGGCCAGTTCGCATGCAAGATCATATATAGAGATATACAAGAGTCAAGCAAGCAAGAGCAAGAGTATATATAGGTCAAGGTACAAGCAAGGTCAAGAAGTGAGCAAGTGAGGCAAGACAGGCACAAGACCCAGCTGCGTGCAGCAACGCTGATGATCACAAGGCGCAAGTGCCTTGGTGAAGACATCAGCAGTGTTGGCCTCAGAGGCCACGTACGCAAGTCGCAACTGTCCACGCTGCTGCAGCTCACGAGCAAGAAAGTAGCGGAGAGCAATGTGCTCTGTCCTGTGCTCCAGTCGCTGCTCTCGACACAAGGCCAGCATGGCCTTGTTGTCTACGTACAGGACTGGAGGAGAACGAGGCGGCTCTCCAAGGTCGGTCAGCAGGTAGGTGAGCCAGCGAAGCTCCTGAGCAGCCATAGCCCCGGCGCAGATCTCAGCCTCACAACTGGAGCCGAGAACAGAAGACGAGCGAGTAGCCCGCCACGAGACAGAGCCGGAACCAAGGCCGAAGGTGTAACCCTGTGACGACCGCTGCGTAGCCTGGTCGTCAGCCCAAGAAGCGTCCGCGTGCCCAGTGAGGACCACTGGACTCCGCCCTCCAAGCACTAGCCCCATGCCCGACGTACTGCACAAGTAGCGCAACACCCTCTTCGCTGCAGCCATGTGCTCTGGTCGGTGTCTCCCAGGAGCAACATAGCGTGCGAGAATGCTGAGAGGGTATGCAAGGTCAGGTCGTGTGCAGGTCATCAGGTACATGAGGCAGCCAACAAGCTCTACATACGGGCCACTCGACTCTACGTACTCATCCGAAGGCAGAGCTGAGAGCGAGTGGCGAGTAGGCAGAGGAGTGGCCTGAGGCGAGGAGTACGTGAAGCCGAAGCACTGAAGGACCTGTTGCACCATGTGTGACTGAGTCAGGGTAATGGTGCGGCGTGCTCTGTCCCGGGTGATCTGCAAGCCAAGGTAGCTGCGCAGTTCACCCAGGTCAGTGCACGTGTGTCTCTTCTGCAGCTCGGACTTCACGTAGGCGAGTCCAGCAGTGTCCGCTGTGGCAAAGACCAAGTCGTCGATGTACACGAGGATGTAGAACGGCGGCAGAGAGGTGTCGGTGCGCAGAAACAGCGACGGGTCGGCAGTAGAAGGAGCAAACCCAAGTGCCGCAAGCGTAGTCCTCAGTGTGTCGTGCCACTCACGTGGCGCCTGGCGGAGACCGTAGACTGGACGCCGGAGACTCCACTGGGTACCAGGAGGGAAAGACCCAGTGAAGCCAGGTGGGCGACGCAGCCAGATCTCCTCGTGCAGGCTGCCCTGCAAGAAAGCTGTGCTGAAGTCGAGAGAGTGCAGCTCGTAGTCACGGTGAGCAGCAACGTGCAGCAGTACCCGAAGAGTGGTCATCTTCGGGGTGGGGGAGAAGGTCTGAAAGTAGTCAACTCCCTGTCGCTGACTCAAGCCACGAGCCATGTAACGAGCCTTGAAGACAGGCGGAGAACCCGGCGGCCGCTTCACCCTGAAGATCCACATGCCACTGACGATGTTCGCCCCAGGAGGGGGAACAGCGTCAACGTAGGTGTCTGTGGACTTCCAGGAAGCCATCTTTGCATCCATAGCTGCCTGCCACTGAGAGGAGTAGGGACCCTCTATCGCCTCCGCGTAAGAGCGCGGAGTTGGGATGTCTAGTGCATCCGGGTCTCCCTCAGGGGCGAGCAGTACAGACGCGAGATGAGGTGAAGCGGCGGCCAGACACTGGAACTCCTCCTGCCTGTCCTCAAGGACGTCCGTGCCTAGGGCACACTCACCCCCGACGGACGGAGGACAGGCAGACTCAGACTCAGCGACAAGACTAGCAGCGTAGTCTCTGAGAAAGTTAGAACAAGAATGAAATGACTATGAATGAAGTGAGTACAAATAGGAAACTCTAGTTGGGTTGTACTCCCTATGGGATACCCCACTATAGCCTACACAAATAAGTAAGCTATAATATTCTAACACACCCCCATAGGCAAAGTGGGGGAGAACAAGGGGTCACAAGACCAGCCAAGAAAAACAAAGCAAAGCTCAGGGTGGATCACAAAGTCATCACACATTCCGAGCACAAGTTCAAGGGCCACAAGGTCAGTTCACATGCAAGACCATATATAGAGATATACAAGAGTCAAGCAAGCAAGAGCAAGAGTATATATATAGGTCGAGGTACAAGCAAGGTCAAGAAGTGAGCAAGTGAGGCAAGACAGGCACAAGACCCAACTGCGTGCAGCAACGCTGATGATCACAAGGCGCAAGTGCCTTGGTGAAGACATCAGCAGTGTTGGCCTCAGAGGCCACGTACGCAAGTCGCAACTGTCCACGTTGCTGTAGCTCACGAGCAAGAAAGTAGCGGAGAGCAATATGCTTTGTCCTGTGCTCCAGTCGCTGCTCTCGACACAAGGCCAGCATGGCCTTGTTGTCTACGTACAAGACTGGAGGAGAACGAGGCGGCTCTCCAAGGTCGGTCAACAGGTAGGTGAGCCAGCGTAACTCCTGTGCAGCCATAGCCCCGGCGTAGATCTCAGCCTCACAACTGGAGCCGAGAACAGAAGACGAGCGGGTAGCCCGCCACGAAACAGAGCCGGAACCAAGGCTAAAGGTGTAAACTTGTGACGACTGCTGCGTAGCCTGGTCGTCAGCCCAAGAAGCGTCCGCGTGCCCAGTGAGGACCACTGGACTGCGCCCTCCAAGCACTAGCCCCATGCCCGACGTACTGCACAAGTAGCGCAACACCCTCTTCGCTGCAGCCATGTGCTCTGGTCGGTGTCTCCCAGGAGCAACATAGCGTGCAAGAATGCTAAGAGGGTATGCAAGGTCAGGTCGTGTGCAGGTCATCAGGTACATGAGGCAGCCAACAAGCTCTGCATACGGGCCACTCGACTCTACGGACTCATCCGAAGGCAGAGCTGAGAGCGAGTGGCGAGTAGGCAGAGGAGTGGCCTGAGGCGAGGAGTACGTGAAGCCGAAGCGCTGAAGGACCTGCTGCACCATGTGTGACTGAGTCAGGGTAATGGTGTGGCGTGCTCTGTCTCGGGTGATCTGCAAGCCAAGGTAGCTGCGCAGTTCACCCAGGTCAGTGCACGTGTAACTCTTCTGCAGCTCGGACTTCACGTAAGCGAGTCCAGCAGTGTCCGCTATGGCAAAGACCAAGTCGTCGACGTACACGAGGATGTAGAACGGCGGCAGAGAGGTGTCGGTGCGCAGAAACAGCGACGGGTCAGCAGTAGAAGGAGCAAACCCAAGTGCCGCCAGCGTAGTCCTCAGTGTGTCGTGCCACTCACGTGGAGCCTGGCGGAGACCGTAGACTGGACGCCGGAGACTCCACTGGGTACCAGGAGGGAAAGACCCAGTGAAGCCAGGTGGGCGACGCAGCCAGATCTCCTCGTGCAGGCTGCCCTGCTAGAAAGCTGTGCTGAAGTCGAGAGAGTGCAGCTCGTAGTCACGGTGAGCAGCAACGTGCAGCAGTACCCGAAGAGTGGTCATCTTCGGGGTGGGGGAGAAGGTCTGAAAGTAGTCAACCCCCTGCCGCTGACTGAAGCCACGAGCCACGTAACGCGCCTTGAAGACAGGCGAAGAACCCGGCGGCCGCTTCACCCTGAAAATCCACATGCCACTAACGATGTTCGCCCTAGGAGGGGGAATAGCGTCGACGTAGGTGCGTGTGGACTTCCAGGAAGCAATCTCTGCATCCATAGCTGCCTGCCACTGAGAGGAGTAGGGACCCTCTATCGCCTCCGCGTAAGAGCGCGGAGTCGGGATGTCTAGTGCATCCGGGTCTCCCTCAGGGGCTAGCAGTACAGACGCGAGATGAGGTGAAGCGGCGGCCAGACACTGGAACTCCTCCTGCCTGTCCTCAAGGACGTCCGTGCCAAGG